TCTCTCTCTCTCTCTCTCTCTCTCTCTCTCTCTCTCTCTCTCTCTCTGTCCCTCTGTCTTTCTGTCTCTCTCTCACACACACAAGATCAGGAATGTGAATGTAACTTGGAACTACAGAAAGAGCAAATGTTTGCTGATAGTTATGTAATGACAATAAGTAACTTCTCTTCAGTCCTGGGAGCAAAATGAAGAAATTCTTAATTGGCTGAAGACACTAGATCTAACATTCAGCCACATGTACTGTATGGAACTTTTTTTAAAAAATGTGTGCTGTTAGCTTGTAAAGTCTCCAAAAGCTTGCGTTCTTTGAGGCAGCCATTTCCATACACGAGTTTTATGCCTGCCAAGAAAGAGAATAGGGCCTCTAAAAGAGAACATCTAACAAGAGATAGGGCAGAGACAACTTGGCAAACAAGGACACTTTTTTTTTTTACAATGCATTTCATTGCTTGGTGCATTTATCTTCTTCTACCGGAGATATCTAAGAGTTTTATTTTTAGCGTGATTGAGGGGAGGAAGGAATAGAGGCGAAGTCATTTTTTGTCAGCGACATAAACAATCATTTCGCCTTTTAAAAGTGGCGTGCTCCTTTCCTGATTGAAGTTAAAGCTTTTCACATTTCAAAATGTCAGTTTTAGTCCAGGGCCGTCCCACTAGCAACAACAGCAACAAAAAGTATTCACACCTGTTATGTTTAAGGCTGAGGATACAGTGTTCCAGTCACAATGATGAGATCATTTGAAAAGAAGTTTTAATGAGCAGAATGATTGAATATCATGGTTTTATAGGACCTACGTGTTCAAAGATAGTGTGCTGATTTCTAGCAGAGAAGATAAAATTAATAAGGACCGTTATCAGTGGTGGGTTGCTCCCGGTTCTGTCCGGTTCTTGCGAACCGGTAGTAAAAGTGGCAGGAGGCTCCATCCACCTGCCTGGACATCATCATGGGTGATCTACGCATGCACAGAAGCTGTGCGTGCGCACTCCCATTGCAAACCGGTAGTAAAGGTGAGTAGAACCCACCCCTGATCACTATCCCATATTCACAAACATATATTGCATCTCCTATAACGTGCTGGCCTCCACTTCTTCCAAAGAGCAAACATATAGGCTGCACCACATAAACTTATTCAACCATTGTTTCATTAGCCAAATATTTTTGGGGCCATGCAATTAGATTCATTCAAGCCGTTCGGTCACAAATCATAGTTTACAGACTACATTGCCTTGGTTCACACAATAACCTGGTCCATCAGGACCATGGCAAGGAGCACAGTCAGTGGTGGGATTCAGCCAGTTCACAACATTTCGGGAGAACCGGTTGTTAACTTTCTGAGCAGTTTGGCAAACTGGTTGTTGGAAGAAATCATTAGGGCAGAGAACCAGTTGTTAAATTACTTGAATCCCACCACTGAGCACAGTGGCTCATACGGTTAGGGCATTCGGTTGGAGGTTGACATGGCCATTGTTCAAGATCCGAATTTATTTATTTATATTTATTTATTTATTTATTTATTTATTTATTTATTTATTTATTTATTTAATTTATATACCGCCCTTCTCCTGAAGGACTCAGGGCGGTGAACAGCCATAATAAAACAATGTACAAAATAGAATTTAAAAGCAGATTAAAATAATTAAATCATAGGCCGAATTTAAAACTCTCATTTTAAAACCAATTTTAATACCCCATTAAAACCAAATTAAAATCATTTATCCCATCAGAATGCTGCCATGGTGTGGGGTTGAATGCCTGTTCTTTGCTCCAGCTCCTGCCAGGGACAACTAAGTGTCGCCTGGGCAATGGGGATGTCACCAGCTAACCTTTTAAACCTGGAAGCACCTTAATCAGAGGTGTCAAACTTGCTCACATCAAGGGCCCTATTGTGACGTATCAAAATATTTTTTGCTTTTATGGAGCTGGGGTGGCTGTGGCCTGCGTGGGCCATATCCAGCCCCCAGGCTGCCAGTTTGACAGGCCTGGTTGCTTCTGACATGAGTGCAATGCAAGTACAGTAGCGATTATCAATCTAAGAAGATACCTCCTTTATATGAGACATAAGAGAGCAGCCAAAATGGCAGTATCCAGACAAGGAATAGAGCCTTTGAAAAGATGAGTCTTCAGCAAGGTAACATTCAACAACATCTAAGTCAATTCAACAGTCCTTGACTAAGAGATCTGATTGGGAGCTCTCCAGGGTCCTGAAAAATGTGTCGAATGGCTCCTTTGCCTCCTTATTTCCTTATGGCTCCCGCTGGACAGCTCCTTGCTGTTGCCTGCCTCCTAATTGTGGTTATTCCTATCATCCAGTTTGGAAGCAGGAAGAAGCTAGACCAGAGGGGGGAAAAAAAACATGTCAGAAAAATGGTAGTTCTTCATCCCTCAGTTCATTAAAGGATTAAAAGCCACATCAGAGTACTCTGGCTGATCTAATGTGAACTCAAGAGATTTTGAATCTGGATTGGTGCAGGGGAGCTCCTAGCAAGTGGTTGTATTGATAAGAGGCATGGCTGAATTGCTTTGGAAGATTTGCTTCAGTGGGTTATGTTTTATTTCACCTTTATTGGGAAACAGTCTATGTTATGCAGCCGTACAACCAGCTGACAGGTTGCTTAAGGCAGGCTTCATTTTGTTTAACACCCTGTGATAAATGTGCACTGCAAAGCCCTCCAATAGAAGATCCAAATTCTTTCCTGGCATTTCCAAATGTGTCAGCAAGAAAAAGAAAAGGAAAAAAAAATACTCCACCACTTCGGTTGATGCAATTACAATTACAGCAGTGTTTTGCCTTAAACATCTGAGTCATTGATGCATTTCCCTCTCTTGGCTTCCATAAAATATTTAAAGGGTTCTCACCCACAGTGAAATGTGTCAAAAATTTAAAGCGACAGTTGCCATGCATGAAATCATTGTTAGGTTAGATAATTGCATTCAAAGTTCAGGTTCAGAATAGCTCTTATTGATTGGGGGAGGGAGGGACCTGGACAGATGTGTGGTGGGACTTGATTGACAGTCAACATGGCTTTGTCCCTTGGTCTCTTAATGAACTGGCTCCATGAAGTCTGGTTACAGCCATTAACACTGATAGGTCCCCATTCAGCACATGTTATCACCTGGGATACTTAAGAAGAAAATAGATATTATAGCTATTCATTAAATGAAGTTGATGGATATGGATAATTTGGCAGTGAGGGGAGACCCCAGGAATAATTGTCTCATTAACTACAGCTAGCCAAGTACAGCATAATGAAAGACCAGCTCCCAGAAGGTGAAAAAGGCACTATCGAATTTGCCAAAAGGGGTAGAAAATAATCCAAGATTTTGGCGTCCTTGGGAACACAAATGCAAATAAAGCAATCTCATTTTTCGGTGTTGCCAGCTATGAAATATGGATTATAATGTTGATCCTCTGCATTATTGTATCGTCACACCTTCTTGATTTTCTCACCAATCCTTTCTGATGTTCTCTTCATCTCACTAGTAGTGTTCATACCACTGTGTAAAAATTCTGAAGATTTAAATTCAGTGGTAATCTAACTGAATCCTCCATCCCACCCCGGTCAAATCAAACCTTCAAACTGAATTGCTGAGTCCAGTCTATGCACTAGGCTGAATTGATGAGAACTAATTCTAACCATTTGATGCTACGTGAGTTTATCCATCTCTGAGCCTTCACAGACTTTCCTTTCCCCTAATCAAATCAATCCAAAAATATTTGGGGAGATGATTATTTTAATAGATTGCACCATACACATATCCATGTTCGAAAATCCATAGTTTTATTCAGTCATCTCACCTTTCCACCGTTGGTACAAGACTTGTGCCATAAACTTATAGATTTGCTCTATATCAAATCTTACAGATTTGTGTAACATGCTGTTTTAATATTATTGGTAATTTGTGGTTCAGTATGCTATGTAAACACAAATAATTGTATGAGAGCACCCACAGCATGTTCCCAAGAATGTTTACATGCTTGTTTGATCCATTATGTGCCATCAAGTCATGGTTGATTCCTTGATTGATTTTTCTCCAGGATGATCTATCCTTAATCGGGTTTTTCAGGTCTTCTAATAAGTCGACTCATCATCATGGCAACTGACTTTACTGGTGGGCTGCCTCTTTCTTTCTACCTTTCCCAGCATCAGAATCTTCTCCAGAGAGTAAGGTGTGTATAATGTGTCCAGAGTAGGATAATCTTGGAACATCTTGCTCACTTAACAACTGTGGCAAGAGAGGTCATAAAATGGGGCAAAATTTACTCCATAACCATGCCACTAACTTAAGTGCAATGATTCACTTAACAACAGTGGCAAGAGAGGTCATAAAATGGGGCAAAACTCACTTAACAAATGTCTCAACAGAAATCTGGGGCTCAATTGTGATCATAAGTCAAGGACTACCTGTATTACCTCTTGCTAAGCGGATTAACCTTCATCCACTGTTAAAAAATATTTCAGTGGTGAGACCTCAGCTCTATGTTCTAGCTTACTTTCTTTCTCTCACTCAACATAGTTATTTAATTCAGCTCTAAAGAATCAGTACCAATTCTTGTTGGAGTGCTAATTTTTCTTTCTTCCTTTCAGGTTTTACTTATTCCTTAGCCAGCAGTGTGTGAGGTTTCTGTCTTTAGGTCTCCTTCTATTCCTTCAGAAAGAATAAGATAAGGCCCACGAGTTTTGAAAGGGAAGAGGTGGGAAAAAAATGAAACTTTGCTTCTGGAACAAAATAGAGATATGCTTTGATAAATTATTTCAGTATTCGTCTATATTTGTAGCGGTTCTCGGAGGATGCTGCTGATAAGAATAATGTTTTATGATATGCATTAGCTAGGATTTTGGCCCCAGCCAATTTGAAAAGCTGACTTTGGCAGAGGAACTTTGGAAGCCACAGGAGGGGGGGGGAATTGAGGAAAAAGAAGATAAGGAGAGAACAATGGCATCAGGAAGAACTATCTGTACTCATTCTTTTAGCAACGCGAACCTACTGTCTGAATATAGGACATCAAAGGCAGACGTTATTTTTGAGAAATCATCGTTCAGGTATTCAGTGGAGGCATACTGGACTCCTAAATTATGGGATGAGGATAGATACACAAGCACCAGTTGCGAGTTCGTCCCAGTTCGTCCTGGTTCCACTGAGCCGGTAGCGGTGACAACTGGTAGTAAAAAAAAATAGAACCCACCCCGACAAGCACCCTATCGGATTGTTCTGCCATACTTTATACAAAGTCAAAGCTAGTTTTGTCACCAAATATAATATACATTTAAAGAATTTGTTAAGTAAACGGCCTCATCTATATACAAATACATGTACGCATGTACAGCAGTGGCCAAAATTGTGGAAACCTTTTGGGAAAAGTTTTTTTTTGAGGTTTGATGGCTAATAACACCACTTTTTTTGGGGGGGGGAGTTTCAAGATAATCATATTCCACTGCTGGAATGGCCTGGGAATAGCCCAGTTAAAAATCTATGGTGCAACTAAAGAAACTTGTTAGTCAGAAGCGACCCAGCAATAAAACCCAGTTAATAGAAGCCATCATTCAGTCTTGGTTTCACATTATAACAGCTGCAGAATTAAAAGACTTGGTTCACTCCATGGGAAGATGTTGTAAGGCCGTAATTCATGCTAAAGGTTACCCAACTAAGGATTAACTGACGTGATAATTTTTATATATCTCATTTTTTCTACGTGTTTCATTTTTCTTCTTTATACTGTAACTGCTATTCTAATAGCAAATCCTTCATAAAAGTTATTGCATTACATTCTTGATTAAATTATCTTTCCATTGATATATAATTTTATGGTACTACTCCAAAAAAAAAGTGGTGTTATTAGCTAGTTTTAGAAAATACACTTTTCCCCAACGGTTTCCACAATTTTGGCCACTACTGTATGTATATTTGTGTGTTTGCTTCTTCATACATATCCATCCCAAAGGTTCTTTTTTCCAAAAGGCAACTGGACTTTCTTTCTTTTTTCTTTTCCTTTCAAAACATGTCTGCTTTGGTACAGCAACCAAACAGGACAGGTAGAAACTTCAACGGATAGTTAGGACTGCAGGGGAAAAAAAAAACAATTGCTACCAACCTGCCTTCCATTGAGGACTTGTACACTGCACAGGTCAGAAAGAGGGATGAGAAAATATCTACAGACCCCTCACATTCTGGATATAAACTGTTTCAACTCCTCCCATCAGGATACCCCATAGGGATTGCATGCCAAAACCAAACACAAAGACAGTATTTATTTATTTATTTATTTATTTATTTATTTATTTATTTATTTATTTATTTATTTATTTATTTATTTCTATACCGCCTTTCTCCCGTAGGACTCAAGGCGGTGTACAGTCAAGAAAAATATAGACACACAAACATCAAAAATTGCTAATTAAAATTATTACTTAGTTTGGTCAATTAAATAAAACCCAGAATTAGATAACATTTTAAAAAATCATTCACATGTTCATATGTTTAGCCCCGCCTGTTGGAACATCAAGGTTTTGAGGGCACGGCAGAAAGCACGGAGATCAGGGATATTCCGTATCTCCGGGGGCAGTTCATTTCGAAGGGTTGGAGCCCTCACAGAGAAGGTCCTCCCCCTGGGAGTCGCCAGTCGGCATAATTTGACTGACGGTACCCTGAGTAGTCCCTCCCTGTGAGAACGAACTGGTCGGTGGGAGGCTATTGGTGGCAAATAACGGTCTCGTAGGTACCCAGGTCCTAAGCCATGGAGCGCTTTAAAGGTGATAACTAACACCTTGAATCTCACCTGGAAGACCACCGGGAGCCAGTGCAGCTCATGTAGGAGAGGTGTTACATGGGCGTAACGAGCTGCGTCCATAATCACCCGCGCAGCTACATTCTGGACCAGTTGGAGCCTCCAGGTGCTTTTCAAGGGGAGCCCCATGTAGAGAGCATTACAGTAGTCCATACGGGAGGTAACTAGGGCATGAGTGACCATGCGCAAGGCGTCCCTTTTTTCCCCTCATGCTATCACTCTGCTCAACACCTAATTCCCACAGTGCTGTCTTATGTCTAAGGCTATTTACCCATGTAGTAGGGCTATATTACTGTTATCCTTCTCATCTTTTCTACTACCTTCTCCTATTGTTCTAACTGTCTGGAAATTTCTCCTTAGTTTTAGGTTGCTTCTCTCCTTGATTAATTCCCATCCATTGCTTCTTGTCCTTGCCCTCAGGTGCTTTGGAGAATAGCTTGACTCCCTCTTCTTTGTGGCAGCCCCTGAGATATTGGAACACTGCTATCCTGTCTCCCCTAGTCTTTCTTTTCATTAAACTAGGCATACCCAGTTCCTGCAACTGTTCTTCATATGTTTTAGCCTCCAGTCCCCTAATCATCTTTGTTGCTCTTCTCTGCACTCTTTCAAGAGTCTCAACATCTTTTTTACATCGTGGCAACCAAAACTGGATGCAATATTCCAAGTGTGGCTTTACCAAGGCCTTATAAAGTGGTATTAACACTTTACGTGATCTTGATTCTATCCCTCTGTTTATGCAGCCTAGAACTGTGTTGGAATTTTGGCAGCTGCTGCACACTGCTGGCTCATATTTAAATGGTTGTCCACTAGGTCTCCAAGATCCCTCTCACAGTTACTGCTATTGAGCAAGGGACCACATATACTGTACCTGTGCACTTCCTTTTTCTTGGCTAAATGTAGAAACTTACTTTTTTCACCACTGAATTTCATTTTGTTATTGGTATTTTATGATTATATTACTTTGCTGTTTGTATGTACATTGAGAGCTTCTGCACCAGAGAAATTCCTTGTGTGTCCAATTACACCTGGCCAATTAAGAATAGTATATTGTATTGTATTGCATTGTTTCACTTCTTATCCAGGGAGCTTCTTCAGTTTTGAAGAACGAACTGAGGAAGCTTCTTGGATGAGAAGCAAGAGCCTGTAGTACAGTGGACTAAACATTGTTATTAACATCTGCTGCTTGCAATTACTGCAAGTTCAAATCTCACCAGGCTCAAGGTTGACTCAGCCTTCCATCCTTTCAAAAGTAGGTGAAATGAGGACCCAGATTGTGGGGGCAATAAGATGACTTTGTATAAATATACGAAAGTATGAAGGCTATTGCATTGTAAGCTGCCCTGAGTCTCTGGAGAAGGGTGGCATATAAATTAAAGCAAAAAAAAAAAAATAGTTTTCAAAGGAAAAGAAAAAGTAAAAGAAAGTCCAATTGCTTTTTGGAAAAAGCACCTTTGGGACAACTATGACCTGGATGATTAAAAAACTCCATAGACGTGCCTGTCCATCTATCTATCCAGCTATCTCCTCTCATAAGCAAGAGCTACTGGTGATATTTTAACAGCAAATTTTCCTTTGGATCGCACTTTTATGTCAATATAACAGTGCAATTCTCACCTCAAATACCATGATGTACATATATGCATATTGCAGAGTATGTGTGCATGACTGTGTATACGCACAAAAAGATAAGCATATTCAAGAAAGTTGTTTTTAAAAGGTGTCAGTACTAGAGAAAGTTGAATAAATTGATTACAAAATTGTGAGCTAGAGAAAACTACAGGCAGAAAGTAATATGATATTTAAAAAAAAACCTTGCAGATACTAGCTGAAATGGGATTAAATGGTTCTCTTGCACATTTGACATAGATTAGAAACAGAATCATTAGTCAATACTTAATGCATTCCACGGAAAGCTTCAACTAGGCCTAGTTCCAAATTAGTTGTGTTTTCAAACATGTACTTCTCCCATTCCAACATTATCATTTTGTTTAGGTGCGTGCTCTTATCAATGGAAAGATATGACTTGGCTCTTAAATAGGAGATTTTGAGGTAGCAACTTTTTTTAAAAATGGTCAAGAACATGGAATCAAGCTGGAAAGACAGAGTGCGTGAGAAACCACCAAGGGATTGGGTAGGGAAGGCTTAACAGTTGTTAAATTAATGGCAGATTTAGGCTCAAAACTCAGCAGTATTGTGTGAAGATTTGTTTATTTTAGCATAATCTACATATTAGATGCACACCATTTCTGAACAGATGTTTATAAACCAATGTAGAAGAAGAATGGAACAAACTTATGAATTAATTGTCTTGGTCCCTGCTTTCCCCCACCCTCCATCTGTTAAAACTCAATTTATCCAAGTTTTTTTTTAAAAATGCACGTGGC